TTCTAAAATACTTAGGATACTACGCGCGCTGTGATTGGTCGAAAACCATGTTTGATTACAGTATCAAAACACGCTCGTGCGCGTCAAAAATTTCTTTTATTCTTTTAATTTTAGAAAAGAAATAAAAGACGAAATTCCGTGTTTGATACTCTGATCAAAACACTTGGGATGTAGGGAGAGCATTCGTAAAGCTGGAAACCACTCCGCTACGCGTCGTGGTTTCCTACGCTTCTCTCGTGCTCTCCCTACATCCCGCGTGTTTTGATCAGAGTATCAAACACGGAATTTCGTCTTTTATTCCTTAATTATTATATGGCTTGGAAATTTCCTGAATTGTGATTGGCTGACGCGCGGTCCGTCCAGAGCCGTATTGGACCGTTGCTATGGTATCAGTCCAACTTCCATATTTAAGTTGGACCGAGTACAGGGAATGAAGACAACTTTGTTTATCAGATTTGAGGCTTTCTTTGCAATAAAAAAAATTCAAACAAAATCCAATTTTTTTAATGATCTGAAAGAAAGATTCCAACAACTCCCGCCTTTTTGTCCGCGCTCGCGTCTTATAGCACTTGATTTTCCCGCTCTTTTCCGAGTTGACCGTACAGTTGTTTTCAATGCCAATGGCATCAATCCAACTTAGAAATACTCGATAAGTATTCACCACACAAAAGGATAGCCAAAAAAGGATTATATTGGAAGAAAAATTCAATGTCAAGTTGTAAAAGCTCAAAGAAGCCAGAACATTAAGTCCACAAACTACTCAAAACAAAAGTGAAAAGCCGAAGGGATTCAAACCGGTGTCTTGGTAAGAATGAAATCCGCCTCTCATGAAGTCTACTTTGCTCGATTCAATGACTCCTCGGTTGCTGGAAAAGAAAGAAAATTGTAATTCTATATTGAGAGACATCCACTTCGAAAAAGTGAACAAATCTACACCGGCGGCCGCGAMGATAGAAGAATATATCAGTGAAAATTTGTGAGTAAACTCTAGTAATGATAATGTATTTGTGTGTGAAAATAAACTGATCTATGGGACAAGGAGCCAAAAKCACCATCTTTTTAGCCGACAATTACTRAAAATGTGATGATTTCCGTGTCATTTTACTCATATCGAGATAAGATATTTATCAGATAGAGGGAGGCAACAGGGTGCAAGTTGACCAGTGAGACTTTTACTATATACTTTGAGTAATTTTTCTACATAATCTRCGATGTAAAAKCCATATAATAAACGAGTTATTAACCTCGCTTGCTCGATCTGTACGGGAAAATATCAGACCTCAGTCTTTTATGTTTTACTGTCAAGACCTCGGTGTGATATTTTCCCGTACAGACCTCGGTTAACCTCTTATTATTTTCAGTAGTGAAAATATCACATTCGAGGTTTCTCTATATAGTGGACCTAAGAAAAAAAGGTATTTTACGGTATAATTTGCTTTTATATGTAATTATATGATAAACAGAATATTACATGTTCGCTTGGGGATACGAAWTTTATCTTCTCGTGTTGAAAATCTTTTCAACACTCGAAGATAAAATTCGTATCTCCGCGCGCCCATGTAATATCCTCTATATATCACTTTTATAAAATAACTTGGATAAAATAACGACTCGACTTCGTCTCGGGTTTGCATAACCGTCTCGAGTTCTCCAAACCTACCCTCGTGTTTGCATCAGGCTATGTAAAGTTATCTATTACTTAAATATTTACTGATTTTGACACAAGCGACCATTTTCTCATTGGTTCTCGTTCTGAAATGTGATCGAGTTGCTTTTGATTATGGCAAAGATGACCCTATTTTGGATCATTCTGAAAACCACAGAATGTTAAAAGAACCGTACCACAATAAGATTTTCTTGAAAAATTGAGCTCTCCATGCTGACTAAAATCAGTGAAACGTTTTCGTGCCATACATTTTATAAAATGTCCAATTTACCAATGGTACAAATCTGAACAAGTCTGATGTGTAACTAAGATATACACCTACTTGCGAAAACGTCATAAAAAATAGGACATTTGTATTTTAGTAAAAAGGAATAAAGTAAAAAGACAAAAGAAGATCACTGAGGCTGAACGCTTTCTTTTGTCTTGTTTTAATTTATTCCTTTTTGCTAAATTCAAATGTTCTATTTTCTATGACAACGTCTTCTGCAAGTAGGTGTATATGGAATAGAATCCTGGTATTTTTTAAAGCCTTTTAGTATAATATAGTAAGAAGTAAACTCAAACTCATTTCTTCAAAAAAAAATCACTCACTTAATTCACTTCCAACGCAAATATGAAGCCATAATAACTCGACGGCCTACGAACTCTTCGCTGCCTGCCTACAATCTGTGCTTTTTATTTAAATTATAACATTCTTAATATCTCAATTATATAAAACTACTATACAATCTCAGATTATGGACATCAAAACGTGCTTTGAAAAACAAAAAACAAAAACAAGCAGGAAATTATTAAACAGCGCTTGAAATGCGATACTTGCGTAATTATTTATCATATTTACTGACCTGTGATTTAACATCATAAATACCCCACGTACCCTATTTTTCATAAAGTTAACAACAAGAATATAAGCGTCCAAAAACCTGACGTGTCTTATTGTTTTGTTTTCCCCACACTGCTTARGAAWATAAGCGTTCAAAAACCTGACGTGTCKTATTGTTTTGTTTTTCCCGCTCTGCGAATGGATAAAGATTTTCAAATTCCGGTTTTAATTTTGTACGGTGGATTATTTGAACTTTACTATTGTGTTTTGTGTTCCGATTTTGCTGCAGTGCAAATGAAATGCGCTTCAAAATGTGAAGGTTTAGATGTATGTATATTTTGCCACAGCCTTTTAATTTATTTTATGTATCTTGTGTGTGCATGATGTTTTAAAAATTTTAAATGATTTTGATTTTTGAGTATTGTGTATATTTGACTTGTTCATTTAATAAAGGCACGTGAGAGCTTCTATTTTTACACTTGAACTAACAACATTTAAATCAATGTTTTGCTAGTTCTGTTCATTTAAMGAGATATTGCATGTTCTGTTATTTCAAGTAAACATCGATTAATTAATGCTCTCCTTTTTCCTTATTGGTCACCACATGACGTCAACAAGGAAATCGTGTATTTAATAGAAAATTGCAACCTATACAGACCCTATACACTGGAAATCAACCAAACGTGCCATGAGACTCTTGATGAAATCCTTTCTTATGCTATGCTTCGTGTGTTTGATCTGTCGAGCATATGGCATTTCCCGTGATTCGTTCATTTTAAAGAGACTTCACCTGACGGACGAGGTCGTGTTGGGATTGCTAAGAAGAGTTGAAACCCTCGAAAGTGGACGATCTAATGTGTGCGCAGTACAAGGTATGTATAAACAATGCAATGYTACGCCAATTTATTGATATCAGCAACAACGTCTTATTTTGAGCTTGACTTACCGTGAGCCGATGGCGCGCAAAGCATTGACGTGAAAAGCCTTGRCGTGCTAAGCTCTGAGACAGGCAAATCATGGACTTTAGGGTGACGCAATAAAATTGTTCAACTGTGACAGTGACTATAATTTTACCTTCATTATCGAACTTCCGATAAATTATCGTTCAAAGGTCATCTTCAACAGAGCCATACTTGTTTCAAGCATAAATTTTCATCAATTTATTAAGTCATTCAAGACTGTCGATTCTTTGTTTTTAATCTCTCTCAATCTAACTGCTAGCATGGTCTTGGTTTCAAAATGTCCACACCTTTAGTCGACAAAAGAACTTCCCATAGATCGCTGCTTTTTCTCATATTGGTCCATATTATTGAAGTATTTTCAATAAAATATCATCTCTTTTTGTTGTCGAAATATCAAAGTAAAATCCTTTTTTCTTATATCACTTTTAAGATGGGCCTAAATACGCTCGAAATAAATTGTTTTTCATCTTCGCAAATCGATTTCCCGGATGTGCGAACGCGTCGAAGTTATGACAAAATTGGCGGGAATATTTCTGTGCTGTTATTTCGCTCTTCYGTGGATTTTTTGCTTGTRATTAATATTATCAATATGGAATATAAATGTGTAAGGAAAAAAATTCGATTTTTCAACAAATATTTGGCGTTTTTTTTTCCCTTTTCGAGYGGAGTATGGGTTTCCTGTGGTGGTACACACACTCCAGGACGRACGRAAACGTGCGTAAGCGCGGAAACCCTGTGTCGGTACATGGAAAATCGACTCGATGGATTTATAGAAGTCATAAGTCATAAGTCATGTTGACTACAAGAAAAAGACATGTGAGGCTGTGTTATTATAGGACAACATTAATGAAATAGCATTGGAACACTTCTATATTCATATATTTTGTAGTCGTTCGTGACTGCGTGTTTAGCTTTCACTTTTTATCCTAATCTGTCTTATTAATTATGTTAGTTATGTACTTCTGCTAACGTCCAAAAATCTAGGATATCGTCCCTATATCTCCACCAGCAAAAAGGTTTTATATCACCTAACTTAGCTAACTTATCTATATTTCTCACATCGCTAAATCCGCATAACTACACGCAATTTTTGGACTATTTTAAATATGTCATTTTGTCATAAAGTCAAATCAAAATATTGGTTTGCTTGTATAATATACAATAATAAAAATAGTTGAACATAATAGAGCAGAGTCATGCACTTGAAGCATCAAATATAGTGTCTAGCTATTATTAGTTTATATATTTTAGTTTCTATTTCATATGGTTCAAGTGTTTCTTCTCTACATGTAAATACAGTAAAGATAATTTCTATAGGAGGCCTAATTCACAATCGAATTTTACATTTGGCTTCTGCCATACTTAGATTAAAACTGCTAGACTGCTTAATGAAATAGGAAAAATGCAAAACTGCAAGCTTCATTCTCTCTTTCAAGGATGTGGTTAAAAAGATTGGAAATACACCAATGACATGAAATATGAAATATTCCTAAACTGCTAATTTTACTTTCAAGGCAAAATCTTAACCGCGTCAAGGATACACTTAGTAGAAGGAATTTTAGTTGTCCTAGTATTAAGAGCCTTTTTAACGGCAGCTAGTCCTAAGTTGTTATCAATGTTAGGAAACATTCCTACAACATCCCATGATACTAAAATGGTGTCATCTGACARTGGGCCTGCTCTATTTAATTTATCTATTCTATTTAACAAATCAGTAGTCAGTGACCGTGGAGCGGTCAAATATGTGGGAGGGCGGAGGGCGGTGATTTTTATAGGGGGGGGGGTTTTTATAGGGGGGTCCGGAGGAATGTGAAGTTGACTCTTTAACGTTTCCAGCTTGATGGCGTCACAGTATAGTCGAGCTCTGATCATCGATTTTTTTTGTATTTTTTATTTAATCTTACTGATCTCATGTATTAATTTTTCGGAAGCAAAAAGTGAGAACCCCCCCGTCTCCGCGGTCCCTGGTAGTGTCTCTAACAAATGAGGGCAGTCCAGAAGCTAAAGGCCTTCAAATTAAATTCTGTGAAAGACGATAAATTTTCAATGATGGCTGTGCCACAGCAAGATGTAATAAGCCGAACGGGGTGGTCTTTTACCCAACCATTTAGATGCACAGGTCTTAACAGCTTAACTTTGTCTCTGAAAAACTAATGAAACTAATTCAACTACTAAAAACTTAAACTACTACAACCTTGCAGGTTGGTGCGTTGTGTTCGACTTTGAATCTGGCGTGACTGGATGGACCACGAGTGGCGCAGCCTTCAACAATCAGCCAACATGGGGAGATAATCCCACAGCCAGAAAAAGAGGACAGCCATCAAAGCATAGGGGAGATTGGTGGATTGGAACAKTTGAAAATCGTCCAAGTGAAGCCCATAAGCCTGGAGCGGTRCAAGGTGACGGTCCCAAAGGAACTGTGACGTCACCATCCTTTGTGATCAAGGGAGACAAGATGAGGTTCTTGATTGGTGGAGGCTGTGACATGGCMACTGAACGTGTAGAGCTGGTGGTCGGTGGAAAAGCTGTTGCCAAAGCGACTGGGAAGTGCCATGAAACAATGGCACCCCATGTTTGGAGTCTCGACAAGTCCTTAAAGGGAAAAACAGCCCGCCTGCAATTGGTTGACAATAGCAGTGGTGGTTGGGGTCATATCAACTTCGATCACTTTGAGATGTTTGTTAATTAGCTGTGTATGTTATKCAATAAGTTCTAAGCGACATAACACATTGTCTGCTGACAATCCTTTAAAATGTTTGTTAAACTTAACTTTCAAAATGCATAACGAAAATWAGTGAAATCAAAATAAAGTTGTGTAACGACCTAGGACTATCGCATGAGCTTGATTACAATTTCGAATTTTAATAGTCACAAATAATGTTTTTAAAGTTTTCGTAATCGCACGACCCCGATTATTAGTATTTAGTTCATCATAGACGGCGTGTGAATGTTTTATTTATTTATTTATTTGTTTTTTGTTTTTTTTTTTGTTTGAGGGAGGGCAGGTCGAGATATATATATTTAGGGTAAGGGGGGTAATTAACAAGCCCACGCCCCTCGCCCCATTGGATTAACAATGAACGGTCCCTAAAGGGTATTTCTTATTATATTGTGCATTTCCTACTTAGTTGAGGTTGCCTCCATTGCTTACTTTACAGTTTAAACCAAGACGTTTGTTACAGTGCGAATTGCACGTGATGCCTAGTTCTGCTGTTAAACTCATAACAATGCAGATACGCAAAGCACAATGGTTAGCCAATTTCAGGCGGTGTTGGACACAGCGCGAAAAGGATCCTGGGTTAAAATTCAAAAATGGTTTCATTTGCGACTGACCTTTGAGCTGTGAGGAGCTCCGTCGGAGTTGATTGAAAGGCAAAATAAAGGCGAAACCTGAGAAAAACTTGAAACTTATCCTGAAAATAAGCAAAAACTCATAATAGAGCTCAGAAGTATTGCGAAAAAAGAAAGCTAGAACACTGAAACCTTATGAAAAGATCGGATTTTTAGAGCAATTATTACGAGAAAGCACAAACATACCTTACGGCGGTCTCCGAAAAGACATGTTAATCACAATCAGTGATATGAATGACACTCATTTTTTTCAATCTTAAAACTGTCAATATTTCAAAAGTGAAGTTGAACTTGACTATGAGAGAGGTGACGCTCGCGTTAAAAGTTGTTCAAGGTCAAAATTTTGGCGGGAAACCTCGGCCGCAAAAAATTTAATTTGACTGTGTTTTTTGTTCAAATTCTTTATTATTGTGCCTTGTACAGAGACGCTTTTATATTCTTTTAACTTACCACAAACATGATACAAACACATATTGAAATATAACCCATGATAAATATCGAAAAAAATAAGTAAAATTGAGAGCATAATTTCTACGATCGCGAAGAATCAAAATTCGCTAACTTTAGTTGCTTCAAAAGTGAATAGATACTGCTGCGCCATCGTGCGCCATGCAACAAGGACATTAAGAATTTATTTCTCGTTTTACATTGTTAATATCTAGACAATTGATTAAATATTTCGATCACAACTATGAAAAACGTCTGGCAATGTCAAAATTGCCGACTTGTCGTTGGTAAAAAAGACAACAAAATTTTTAAAGCTATTTTTTCGCTATGAAGCGAAAGTATATGCGGAAAATATTGCAACATCCACAAAAGTATAAAATATACTACCGATTTCTTGTGTTCTTTGTCAAACAGCGCTTCAAAATTCATCTAAAAACGCATTTTTGTACACACATATCGAATCCTGGGCCGTCGCCATCTCCGCTTTTGAGATTCCCGCCAAATTTGAAATGGCACAACAGATCCTTTTCGCGCTGTGTCCAACACCGCCTCGCCAATTTGGTCGTGTATAGTCCATTTAACAAGCCCGCCATTTTGAATGGTTTTGCAATGCGT